AGGTTCTAGATCTTTCACGTATATTACATCAAATGTAATTTGAGCTGGCCCTGGTCTTTGCAGGCTGAGTCACTTGTAGAGTGTTGCACTTTTAGGATGAATTAGTGATTGATCATTGTATTGAAGTTTTATTGAATGTTTTCAAGGCCATACCAACAAAATTCCTTTGATAGCAACCTATGGAATTAGAAAGGGTAAAAGTGTGTGTGTGTGTGTGTGTGTGTGTGTGTGCGCACGTGCACGTGCGTGTGTGCCTTATGGTTACACATAGTGATGCCTCCTTATCTGTTTCTGCCAAACCAGGTACAAGTCTGCAGCGGTGGCAGCCAGCATCATCAGGCACTCCCAGCCCTTCACCCCTCGTGCAGCGCCTGGTGGGTTGGATCGACCACATCCTCCAGAATAAGGGTGCAGAGCACCTCAGGCCTTATACCTTCCAGCAGCCTTGGACTGAGCTGCATCTGCTCAACATCTTCCTGTTCCTGCTGGGCTTCACTCTGGGTGTCCTGTGGCTTTGTGGGAAGCTGCTGAGCCTGCTGACCAGGTGGCTAAAGGCAGCCAGGAAGCTGAAGAAGACATAATGCTTAGTATGGCCTAGCCATGACGATGTTGGAGATTCTCTGGTTCTTTGCAGGCATTCCCTTTTCCAGCCCAGGGCACTCTGAGGTTCTCTCCTTTCCTCCACCTATTTTACAATTGGCTCCTCTTTATTATCTGCATCTTAAAAAAATCTCTATGCACCACATGGACTCCTTGAGTTGCTCCTTTTGATTTGGACCTCTCTGTGCAGACACAAATCTTCCCTAGCCAGCCCTGTGCGCTCCCTGCCCCCATGTTTTCTTCTTTTTGGCAAAGTGAGTTTCTTTTTTGGTTGTTGTTGTGTTTCTCTCTCTCTCTCTCTCTCTCTCTCTGTGCTGATACTAGGCCTTGAACTCAGAGCCTGGCTCTCTTGCTTGGCTTTATGCTCAAGACTGGTGCTCTTCTATTTAAGCCACAGTTCTATTTCTGGCTTTTTGCTAGCTAACTGGACTTACAAGTCTCCTGGACTTACCTACCTGAGCTAGCTTCAAACTAGGTTTCTCAGATCTCAGCCTCCCAAGACCTGGCTGACACATGTTCTGACGACTGCATCCCCCCTGTCCAGATAACTTTTCAGTCTCTTTCCCTTTCTCCTTCTATCACCTTACATAAAATACATATTTAAAAAATTCTTACATTTTCCTCTGACTTGTTGCCTCTCTGAAGCTGTCCTCAAAGTTCCAGAGCCTCCTCTGTTCTTCTCCACTCAGGAAGGAGCTCCTCCCATAGTATAAGGTTTAATTAAATGGACAAATAGGAAATAAAATAATAATCATGTTTACTTGGTAAAAATTAAAAGAAAATTTATGAAATATAGGAGGAGAAAAAATTGATATGTATCTGAAATGAAATATGAATTTCCTTAATATTTAATGAGATTAAAGAAATGATAGAGTTATCTACACTTTGGAGTAATTTTTTTGCTACAAAATATGGCAAGCTAGAGTGTGAAAATCTGACACATAATGAAGATGGTTGTTTTAGAGTGGAAAGAAAACAAAGAGGAATAATCAACATATTTTGGAAGCCAAAGAGATTCGTGGAGCAAAGAATGTACCGTGGTTGCTTGAGACTCCACAATTACTCTTTTATTTATTTATTTTTTAATCCCTCTCTCATTTTGCTCCCACTTTCTCTCCCTCGCAGGTTGTAAAGTTCATTTTCAACATATGTCTTGTGAATATCTCTGTTACATTGGTTCGCCCTTTGTCCTTTGTCATAACACTTCCTTGTTCCCCTTCAGATAAATGTATATACAAGAAACAGGGTGCCAAAATAAAACACAGCGATAACAGGGGATAAAGCAAAGGAGAAAAATGAAAGAAAAAAGAAATAACTTCACATAGTACATCAAAAACAATAACAACAAAGAAAAATCCCTCTTATTTCCATATCTTGGAGTTCATTTCACTTAGCATTGTCTTATATGGTCATATGTACATATTGAGCTATTGTGATCCTCTGCTAGGGCTATGCTAAACATACACAAACTACTACAAATGAAGGAAACTGTGGAACCTATATTGCTTTGGTTCTAGCTTACTTCACTTAATAACATTTTTTCCAAGTCTTTCCATTTTTTTAAGAATGGGGCAATGTCATTCTTTCTGATGGAAGCATAGAATTCCATTGTATATATATATACCACATTTTTTTTTGATCCATTCATCTACTGAGGGGCACCTGGATTGGTTCCATATCTTAGCTATGGTAAATAGTGCTGCAAAGACAAACAAGGCCATACTAAAAGCTAACAGCACAATTATTCTTGACAGGAAGAATAAAACAGAGAATCCCGTGAAAGAGGATGTATAGAATTCAGAAAGAATGGGCTGGAGACACAGGGAAGAGAATGAGCTGTCTATGCTTTTCTTCTTTAGATAGTGTTGTATTGCAGTGATATGCCAATATTTTACATACCAGATCCATATTTAAATGACTAATAAACCTTTATAATGAAATGTGCACAGAAAGAAATTCAGTTCATTTTAAATGAACATAACTTAAAAACATAAAATTTAACAATCAACACTTAAACGAAAGCCATAACTATTATCCTAACATTAAAGGGTTACAAAAACCTGATGCTGGTGGCTCACGCCTGTAATCCTAGCTACTCAGGAGGTTGAGATCTGAGAACTGTGGTTCAAAGCCAGCCCAGGCAGAAAAGTCCATGAGACTCTTATCTCCAAGTAACCAGCAGAAAACTTGCTCAAAGTGGTAGTCTTGAGCAAAAGAGCTCAGGGACAGTGCCCAGGCCCAAGTGCAAGCCCTACAACAGACAAAAAAAAGGTACAAAATAAGCCCACAGTTTATTGCATAGGTAATTCACAGTTGTTTGATTTGGCATATCAGAATCCATATTGTAGGCATAGGATTGAGCAAGTGAGTAAATAATTTGTTAGAAAGTCAGGTTTCTAGTTGCAAAAGAGAACGGTAGAAATCAATAATGTAACAATACAGGTGGTGTTTCTTTTTAGCTGAAGGTATCAGTATGAATTCATAATCTCACACAAAATTAAGAGGCTTGGTTTAGATAGAGATACAAATATTGGATCATTATATATTCCTATATATTGTTTAAATCTGTCCATTGAATGAATAGAAAACCATAGTGCTTCATTAGCAAGGAGGAAACCTATATTGTGGTTTCTCAGCACCATTCTCCTTGAGAAAGAACCAATGTACCTTGAATGAATTTAAGACTAGGACAGGGGAATATATAAATGGAGCATCATGTGTCAGGAAAGTAGAACTTGGTTGAAAAACAATGAACTTCCTCTGGGGCCAATCCAGCAAATACTGATAGCAATACATTTGTGTTACTGAAAGTACTAACAGTACTTACTAACAGTAAGTAAATAAATATGGAGAAATAATGATGTTAAAATGATTGGTATGCCCCTATCCATGTCATAGCAAACATGTTTGAGTATATATATGCATAAAATTGATTTCTGTGAGTATTAGAGCCAACTTTTTTTTAAAGGTTCCACAACTGGGGCTGGGAAGGTGGCTCAGTGGTAGAGTGCTTGCCTTGCCTGCACGAGGCCCTGGGTTCAATTCCTCAGTACCACATAAGCAGAAAAAGCCAGAAGTGGCATTGTGACTCAAGTGGTAGAGAGCCTTGAGCTGAAGAGCTGAGGGACAGCGCCTGGGCCCAGAGCTCAGGCGACCACGACCAACCAAAGAGAAAAAAAAAGCCCAATTATCAGTCTGGGCATGATTGACATTTCAGCTTGACTGGTTCATGATAGAGCATAAATATGTGGACATCTGGTGAAATTTCTTACAGACCTAGCATGGTTCTCCTCCCTTGTCTCTTCTTGGAGTTGTACCTGATTTTTCTTTTTCTTCTTTTCTTTTCTTTCTTTCTTTTTTCTCTTTCTTTCTTTCTTTTTTTTTTTTTTACTAGTTTTCATCCAAATCTACTGAGGAATGGGGTGATTTTGCTTTTGTGCTTTTGTTTCTTGGCCAGAAACTACTTGATTGTGAAAGTCTTGTGAGAAGACCTGCTGAGAACCCCAGGCAGACAGAATAACATGATGGTGAACAAAAGCTGAAGAGCTGCCAACATTGGTTTTTTGTTTGTTTGTTTGTTTGTTTTGTTTTGATGGATTAGAACTCTGCTTTTTGTTAATTGCTGATTGGTGAAAACCAACATTTGGCATTTTGGAAATGCCAAAACTTTTGTCTTACATTCTAGCTTATGGTTCCCTCCCAACTCACCAAACGGATTTCTGGAGCAGAGTGTAGAACTTTCTGTTATCTTTGTTTCTCCTTGAGGCAAAGGGAAATTCTGGTTTTGTTTGTTTTAGAGTTCCTTATAACAGCACTTTGCGAAGGCCCTAGACCAGTTTAGTCTCATCTTCTACAGAAAGCTAAACTCTGGTTTGTGAACCCTTACTTTGTCTTTGAATTTGCTTTGCCTCTGCTTCCCAATATCATTTATACTAAAGGTTCAAAAGATAAACCTGGTAAGCCAATGCCACAAAGAAAAACATTAGCGCTCTATTTAGATTTCCTTCAGAGGACATGAGTACATAGGTCCTGACTGCCATGTGTCACCCACCACAGGGTTTCTTGGAATGAAGAAAACTGAAGCAGGGTGGTTTTTAGGGTACAAAGTGTTCAAGGTAGTACAAGTACAGTGTTTGGCTTCCTCTAACCTGCTATTGAGATCTCTCTTACCACTTTCCAGTCCTGGTCAGATGTCAGAAAAGTCTCAAAATCAATGTTGATATTTTCATTTGTGTGATTGTGAGCTCACAAGTTAGTCTATCTCCTAATTTTTAAAATTGATATTCACTCTTTCCTGGCTGGATTATTGCTCCTGTGTCGGGAGCCTGGTCTAGGATAAGAGATGGTTTGATAGAATTTGTAGTTCTTTGGAAAAACAAACTTCTCTTCCCTTAGGACATACCAATGTTGTTCTAGAATGTATGCTGTCACACACTCTCATGGTTTTCCTGAAAAATCTCAATTAAGCCTAAATGTCTTGTCAAATACATTTCAGACTCAAGGATTTGGGATGCAATTATTGCTTCCTACATGCTTTTCCTTCTAATGACTGTGGTATAGACTCTCCTTTGAGTTCCCACATTTCTATCTCCTATAATAACATAGAGTTCTAAAGAGAAAGATTCCAGAAATAGCTCAGAATATATCTATATATCTATATATGATTTGGGGTCCGGTCGTGGGGCCCGAACTCTGGGCCTGGGCACTGTCCCTCAGCTCTTCAGCCCAAGGCTGGTGCTCTACCACTTGAGCCACAGCGCCACTTCCTGCTTTTTTCTTTTTTGCTTATGTGGTGCTGAGGAATCGAACCCAGGGCCTCATGTATGCAAGGCAAACGCTCAACCACTGAGCCACCTTCCCAGCCCCATATGATTTGTTGAATGGAAACCCTTTTCTACAAGTACTTAAAGGTAATATTGTTAAAATAAACCTGAATGTAATTGTGACAAGGAGAAAAAATAGCTCAGGCTATATAAATATTAAAATATACAAATATATAATATATACTAATTCTATTTTTAGTATATATTTAATATATATTTAGTATATGTTATATTTATATACTATGTATATTCTGTATATTTAGCATATATGCTATATGCTACATCTAATGTATTTTAAATATATTGTAGTATATAAACTATATAGTGTTATATAGTTAGCCTGTATATACTAATTATATAATATTTTTAGTATCAATATACTAATTCTATATGCTATACATATATTTTTTATTGAATTGTTAGAATTCCTTATAACTTCTGACATACTGGAGGTCAATCCCCTGTCAGGTTTTTTTTTTTCTCTATTGTTTCTTTGTTTCAGACACCTTCTAGTAAGGTGGAAACCTATTTGTCTATTTTGGGCTTTTGGAATAATACCCAAAGTATCCTTGTTTATTCCAAAACTCTAAAATGTTTTCCCTAGTTTCTTTTAGTAGCTTCATAGTTTCAGGGCTTATATTTTGGTATTTAACCCATTTGAAGTTGATTATTGTAACTGACAAGAGTTACAAAATTTTTTGTAAAACTGAAGAGTTTTAGTTTTTTATGTGTGGATAACCAGTCTTCCCAACATTATTTATTGAAAAGACTATCCTTCTTAAATGCATCTTCGTAGCACTTCGGTCAATAGTCAGTTGGCTGTAGCATAGTCTTGGGAGGCTGTTTTTGTGATTGCTTTAGTTTTAAATAAGTTTTTTTTTATTGTGAAAATACCATACAGAGGGGTTACAATTACATGAGCAAGGCAATGAGTACATTTCTTATCAAGCATTGTTGCCTCCTCCTTTGTTTCCCCTTACCATCCCTGCCAAAGATGTAAAGTTTGTTTTTCAACATATGGACCCGTTGCAACAATGAGATGTACAAGACATTATGTTGAAAAAAGAACAGTATCTTATGCACAGAACAGCAGTGGTTTTGAATCAGATCAGTGCATCTCTCTCTCTCTCTCTCTCTCTCTCTCTCTTTGGATGTATGTATTTCATGAGTTGAGCAGTCAAGCATGGCCATAGACGAAGACATGGGAGAGAATCAGATAAACAAGGTTTGTTTGCTCACAAGTCCTAGAGACAGGAGACATGTTATACAGAGCCACATGGGAATGACATGAATGCGATCTCTAGGCAGAAGGCAGGACTCAAGGGAAAGCATGTAGGACAGAACTTTTAATTGGTGTTTCTAATGGAAAGGCAGGGCAGTGTGAATAGTTCGTGAATGGTTAGTTGTGAACAAGTGGTTTTCTCTTGCCCCTCAGACTTATGTACTCTGTCAGAAATCTCCTCCTATATCATATTTATTAAGTTCAGGGATATTGCCTTTTTACCTCGAGGGAAGACTGATGTGTTAACAAGAATATATATTATCTTTTTCAGTGATCTGAGAAATCAAATACCACCCTTGTCTGAGGCTACACATATGGTAAAATGTAGAAGAGATGGTGGTACTCGGGTCTTTGCAATTCTGTTCTCTGTTTTTTATGTCATTGCTTCACAGTGGAAGGAACAGGGGCATGGAGTAGTGAGGGGAGGGAGACTGTCATATATGCAAGGAAAGAAACTTTCCTTGCAGAGGGACATTTGACCACCTTTTATTTACTGCCATGGAACAGTTGTTAAAAGAGAGAAGTGAAATGAGAAGAGCAAAAGCTAAGAAACAGGGGAAAGTCATGTTGTGTGTGTGAGCCTAGAGAAAAATAGGAAGGCACTGAGTTATGTATAATTACCAGTGGCTGCTCCTGAGAATTTGATTTATCCCATGTGGTGATAGCCTACCGTAGCAGTAAGCTGTCTGGAGATAATAGAAAGTTTAAGAAGGAATTGCCTGAAAGATGGAAAAAAAAACTTGCCGAATGTTATTTTATAAAACACAAGAGAGCAAGTTTTGGTGCTGTTCTAGAAATCAATCGATAGCAAAACTTCCAGCTGGCTTTGCTCCCTAGAGCAAACAAGGCAGGCTTTCACAGTCACAGAGATTCCCTAGGCAACAAGAGCATAAACTTGAGCAAGGGCGAGACTACAGTAGAGATTGATGGTGAGCTGAGCCAGTTAGGTCGTGAGTCCGTAGCAGGCTTCTCAGGCCATCCAATTGGCACTGGGCGGGGGTGGGGGGGTGGGAGGGGGTAGCCAAGCACACCTGAGAAAGGCAGGGGGAGGGGCAGACCGGGAGGGGACCAGATTCCCCAGATGCTGGTGGCAGCATCCATAGGTTCAGTTGGAAGCATCTGGTGGCCACAGGTTGGCATTGAAGGTAATTCAATCTTTCTAAAAAATTTATTCTGGAGACTTGATCCCTTTTAACTAAGTAGACGGTAGATGTTACTCTCTAAAATAAAACCTAAACATTGAGGAGAGTTCTTGGACTTGGAAGGTAAAAATGGAGGTAGGGTAAACAAATTCTAGTGTTTTAAGATGCTGAGAGTTGTTTGGAATACTTCCAGACTTCTTTTGCATGAGAAAGGAGAAATCCGTTCATTTTCAGAGTCTGTGACTTGTTTTTGTTATGAGTAGTTGATATGCCAACAACAGGAATGTTAGCAGCAGGACATTAGATTTCTAACTCCAAATTCTACTAGGCTTTCTGGAACTACACATCAAGAGCACATAGGAGGCAAGTAATTCACTGGATTTCTAAGTAGCTAGAAAATCAACAAGTAGACAAGTAACTCCAAAGGAAACAGGAAGAGATCACAAAATAGTTACTGAGCAAGTGTATTTAGTGACTAATGGATGCAAAAAGGCCAGTGACAGGCAGAGCTGTGGCTTTCGCTGCATCTATAAGAATGATGAAAGGGCTCTGAAATCACTGTTGGAGACTAAGCCTTTCTGCCTCTGACTAATGAATTTCCAAGTAACTTGGTTAGTTCCAAGAGCATAGTCATTGAAAACAGGGGCATTTGGAAATGAGCCATTTTCTCTTTCTTTTTTTGTATTGCTTTATTATGTTAGTTAGTGATTTGTACTCAAGTCTCTGCCTACCATTCATAGTTAAGCATTTTGTTTTCTCTGCTTCTTTAAGATGTTGCATGTGGTAGGCTGACTTCACTCTAAATAGCCTGCCAGTCATTTCCTGGTGAAATCCCTAAGGGGGAGTGAGGAAGGAAAAGCAAGGTGATTGCTCCAGACAGCTTCGGAGCTGCCTGGTGTTCCCAAGGATGCTTATTATCAGGAGAACCTGTGATCCTGGGCTTCTGTGTTTCATTAAGTTTGGGTTTTCATGTTGCATTTGCCCTTTACTATCATGCTGACAAGTTTTCTGACTCTTCTCTCCTCGTGGAAAGTGCTAGGGAGCCCTGTGGTGCTCATCCATCCTGTGTCCAGTCTATGTGTTCCTCAGCCTCACCTCTACTCTAGCCCTGGGAGTGTGACTTAGTATTCTCCCTGACATCCTGAGAAAGCCTGGCCCGGGGGAAGGCTGTCCTGCTTTAATTGGGAGGGGCAAAACTGACAAAGCACCACAGAAGGAACATGTTTAAGGTTTATTACTTACAGATCCTGAGCAAGGAAAGGTGTAAGGAGCCAGGAGGGCAGTCCTATTGAGAGGATTAGAAGAGGCAGAAATGAGAGTCAAGTCTTGGGAAGACAGAGGGGCGGGGAAGAAGATGAGGAGGAGGAAGGGGAGGAGGAGGGGAGCAGAAAGGGGAAGGGAAAGGAGAGAGGTAGGGCCAGGGGAAGGGGAGGGGAAGGTGGAGAGGAAGGGGTAGGGAGATGGAGAGGAGGAAGGAGAAAGGACAAGGAAGGAGAAGGAAGAAGGAGGAGGAGAAAGGAAGGGAGAAGGGAAGAGGAAGGGAGGAGGAAAGAGGAAGGACAAAGGAAGGAGGAGGAGAAGGAGGAAGATGGAGGAAGAGTGGTAGGAAGAGGAGCAGAGAAGAGAAGAGTAGAGAAAGAATATAAGAGGAACAGTAGCATATATAAAGGAATAGGTATAAGACACTTGAAGACAAATAGCTGGATGGGGCATTTTAATGCAGCAACCCCAGACTGCTACAGAGAGGGAGATAGCTCTGAGCTCACTTCCGCAGCCCTGGCTTGAACCATCTGAGTGGGATGTGAGCTGGAGCCTGTTTCAGGTGTGACATGGTGGGAGAAATCTAAACTTGTATTCAAAATGGATGCTGATATGATATAAAAATCTAAGAATTCTCTTCAGGCCTCCCTCCTCCTGAGGCAGTGTTATGACTCAGAATCAAGGCTGAGCCAGTAGAGATGGGAGAGGCTGGGGCTCAGATGAGGGCTGGAGGGGAACAAAGCGTTTTCCACTTTCTCAGATCTAGTTTGAGGCTCTCCTAGTTGAGTCAGCAGCCTGCTCTCTGTGGGTTTTTTTCTTCCTTTCTTCTTTTCACTTAGTAGATGGTTGTAAATTACATGACATTACTATTGTCCCTTTTTCTTGAGAATGGCCAATATAGCGGTAGAGGTATTTAACAATTACAGAAAGGCCTAAAAATTAGTCTTTAGGCAAAAATCATCACACGGTCTGGTGAAAATGGGCTTAATGGCATTAAGAGGCAAAGTAATCCTATGGGGAAAAAATCAGACTATTTAGCAAGAATTTGCTGATTTGGAGAAGCTTACATGATATCCTCAACAGGTTAGTAAGAAGAAGCACTTCCGCTCCCCATTTCCCCATCTCTACCCTTCTGCCTCCTTTTCTGTGCTTCCGTTGACCCAAATCCCTCCCTCTCCTCATCCACACAGGGTAACTTTTCTCTCCTCAAGTTCACGGCGCTCCTGTTTCCTCGTGCATTTGAGCAATTGTATATTTTCTGAAAGAGAAAAGCAGAAGTATAACCTTGGAAAAACAAAAAGGGATAGGCAGTTTGAGAGATTCGGATGAAGCAATTCCTTTGTATTTTTACCGTAAGAAATTATAGAAGAGTTTCGTTTGGGGTTTCTAGTGTGTGGATCTATGATTCCTAATGTGGGCTCTTCAGTAATTAGACATATTTTTGAGTTTGCAGGTTGTTAGCTATGAATGGGGGGGAGAGCGAGAGAGAGAGAGAAAGAGAAAGAGAGAGAAAGAGAAAGGAAGAGAGAGAGAAAGAGAAAAAGAGAGAAAGAGAAAAAGAGAGAGGAAGAGAGAGAGAGAGAGACTGTTTAGTTTTGTTTTCTGCCACTGGGAGGAACCAAAGACATGCCAATAAAATACAAACCCCAGTTTTACATCTCTCCCCTCTTCCGAGGATCAGCTTAAATCTGTCTCAGACCCTTACCTTTGTGCATTCTTCAGCGTTTCACATTCCATCCTTCAAGGACTCTTGCATTGCAGGCAGGCACAGAGCTTTGGCAGTGGCAGCCATCTGCACACTAGGATAGAGGAATGAGGTGACTTCAATGGCGAGCAGAGCCAGAGCCTCCTCTACCTTTACTGCTGACTCCTCCATTGGGTCTCCACCGTCTTGAGGCCTTTGCCTTTCACTGCTCTGTGAGTGTCCTTTCCCATCTGCCATGGGGGATGGAGTGGGAAGTGTCAAGACAGCCTGGCTGTCAGGCCTACCCCTTCCTCTCCCCCAACCTGCTGATTCAATCACTTGCCATTTTAAATGGCTCCATCTCTCTCTCTGTGTGTGTCTGCATCACCTAGAGTGCAGATTGGAGACAACACCATCCAGGCTTGCCCGTCCCACTTCCTGTCTGTTCTTCACGCCATGTTTAGTGGAGTCTCTTTCTTTTAATGCCAACAGTCCTTCCTTGTTAAGAACCATTGAGGTCCACTCATGCAATGCCAGCCTCAGGTTCTTTGTGAAGTGGTGCCTGTTTCCTCCTTCCACAAGATTCTGTTTCTGCTTCCAGTCTTTCTTCCCAATCTCCACAACCTTTCATCTCCCTTCCTCTGTATCTCTAGCCTCCATATTAAAATCTTTGTACTTCTTCACTTATACACGTCTAAGCCATTGCTGCATGTGCTGTCTAACATAAGCCATGCTTTTTAATCCTTTAACTGTCACAGCCTGCACTCCAATAACTATCATCTTCTATTGGGATTAATACTTAAATGCCTGCCTTTGAGCTGTCTTTACTCCACAGCAATATTAGTTATAACGTAGTGATTTTTCTTTTGCAGCTCAATAATGGAAGTTTATCATTCTCCCCAGGCTGTTAACTCTGTCTCTTCTCTTTGCCCCATACCTAACTCTGTGTGCATGCTTAGGCAGTGTTTAGTCTGCGACATTTATTTAAGGAATGGGTTGAGTGGCATTGCTGGCCATGGAAATACGCAGACACTGAGTCAACACTTGGCGGTGCTACAGCCACACATATCAGGGTGGAAGTGCTTTTCTGCTTGCACAAGCCTGGCTGGAGGCACTCAGCACCATAAATGTCAGAGTCTCCTATTGAGCAGTGTTGTGATGTTAGTGATGCATTTGAGGACAGACTTGTGCCCCACAGCCTGTTGCATCATATAAACTTTAGAGTTTTGAGTATTTTCCTTTACCAGATATTTTTCTTCCTCTAAAGTCCTAGTCCTTGCAATCTTTCGAGTTCAAATGGATTGACATCCCAAGCTATTCAACGGATTGCTTCTCTGAGAATTCCAACACACTGCCAGCTTCTGCCCTAGCACAATGCCTTAAAAACAGTACACAATACACAGTAGTCGTTTGTTGATGAATTGAATGGCATTGATTTAAAGTGATGTCAAATGAGCTGCCAGGAAAGTATGTACTTTTATTTGTTTGAATTTATCAGCTTAAATCCCATAGGGGTAGGCTACATGACCACTGGGTGATCTCAATGTCAGAAGGTAGAGCAGATGAGAACGCTGGACTCTCAGAGACTCATCTTCCTGGATGCTATTTTGTTTACTTATGACAGACCATCATCAGATTGCTCTTTGGACCTCTCTTATACCATTCAGAGACTTGGTGGAATAGAAAGAATCCTGCTCAGGAATCAAAAGCCCAGGATTTGATGTTGGCCAGGAACTTGGGACAACTCATTTTACAAAACCACCCCACTGTTCCTGTGTGATTAAACGTGTTCCCCGAAGTTCATGTATTAGAAGTTGAAATTTTAAGTTCATAGGTTCCTGGTACTTGCAGCTGGTGTCTTTGAGCTATACATAGGGTTAGATGAGGTTAGAAGGTTGGGACTGATGGCAGAGAAAGTGAGACCTGCATCATCACACTTGCTCTGTGGTGTAGGTTGCTCACACTGTAGCTCGTTGCCTCCATTCTGATGATGGTACACCAAGAAAGCCCTGCAGGGTACCGCACAGGTATTTATGTCATGCTCTTGGACTTCCAAGTCTCCAGAATTATGAGCCAAATAAACTTCTCTATTTTGAAAAATAAATCACCTGGTTTCAGGTACTTTGGTAGAGCAATAACACAGAGTCTAAGACAGTTTCCAGCTGTACAAAATGAGGATGTAGTCACAGAGGATCTTTAAAGGTTTTGCATTCTCAACACTCCCAAGTGCTAGGATCCATATTGTTGTCTGGCTAACTCAAGTTACCTGATTTTTCTAGGTCTTCTGATTAAATAAGTGGACACATTCATGGGATTAGTAGTTTCTGGAGCAATTTAAAGATCATCTAATCCAACCCTTCCATTGTCCAGGAGAAAAGTGGGTTTTAGACTCAGATGCTAGCAGGGGTGGGGTAAAGAGGCAGGATTAGAACTCAGCTCTCCAGCTTCCCAATTTCATACTTTTTCCACTGCTACAAGAGTTCTGGGGAAACAGAACGTCACTTCTCTCACATTCGCTTTTATATCTGAATGGTTCAAATATAACAAGCAAACTATGGCAAAAAATACTGTGTGTGTGTGTGTGTGTGTGTGTGTGTGTTTGAGAGAGAAAGAGAAGAGAAAGAAAGAGAGAGAGGAAGAAAGACAGAAAAAGTAAGAGAGACAGAAAGAGACAGAGAAAGAGATAGTTTTGTTTATTTTTTCCTATTCTTGAACCTTGTTAGGTGTTAATGTACTTGCTTGTGTTAATGTAACCTGCCAAGCAAGGTGGACATACTAGTAAAAAATCATCCATGTCTAAGTATTGAGAGTTTCAGTGAAGCAGATACAACAAAATAGAGTTTAGATAAAGGAAGAAATAGGGTGAAGGGAATATAGAGAATTCTAAATAAGCAGATTTACTGTAAGTGAGAGTGTGAAGAAATTAGAGACTTACTTTAACTCGTATTAATGATAGAAACTAGTTTATATGTCACTTCCATTTCATACATATACTGTGCTTTGTTCCAGTTTTCTCTGTCTAATATGGCCTCTTGCCATCCTCTGTCTCTCCCCCACCTAGTCCCTTTTCCTTCCCTATTATTATTTTTTGTATGGAGAGAGGAGGGCTTCTGAAATTGCAAACACACTGCAAAATAACTATTCATTTAAAGCTGTTGCTCCAGCTAGAGAACACAGGACTAGTTAAGGAAGCAATAAATATGCCAGTCACACTATTAGCATAGTTACAAAATGGGAATTCTGGGAGATTTGAGACAATTTATGACAAAGAGAAATGTAATTTTCTTCCTTGGTAAGGCTGCCTAGCTTGTAGTGTCCCTGAGGCCTGAACTCCACTCATGTGCTGTGGATCCTCCTTCCAGATGTCCGGGACAGCACGCCATGACCGAGACATGGCAATCCGGTCCAAGAAAAAGCTCACCACAGCCACGGATCCTATTGAAAGACTGCGATCGCAGTGCCTGGCCAGGGGCTCTGCAGGTATCAAAGGACTTGGCAGGTAGGATGGGGGTGGCCGGAAGAGGAAGTAGAATGGTGAAAATTGCTAGGAGAGGCTAATATTGCCTATGTGACCTTGGGCAAATCATGTCTCTTGTGACAGGTCTTTTTTTGGTCCCTGATTTATCAAAGCCTGTGTTGGTGGCCCCTGGGACCAAAAGGAGAAGTGTGTCTATGTGGTAGAGACACCTGGCAGTTCAATGAGAGAGGCCATGTCTGAGGCTGGAGTGGAAGAGGAAGGAACAGCAGGTCAGCCATTGCAGACCCAGTTTGAGTTCTCCTGCACAGTCATGTCTCACCTGAGAGCCGTGGATTGCCTGTGGGATGACTGACAGTCGCGGCTTGTAGGGCTCTCCTGGGAGTGAGTCCTATCCTCCAGCTCTCTGATAGTGTGAGTAGCTCTCAGGATTGAGAAACTCCAGAGAGAAGAAAACATGAGCCTAGGGAAAAACACCTGGGCAAAACCTGACTAAAATGAGGCCCTGTACATATTTTGACAGCTTCCTGAGTGAGCAAGCGTCTCATGGAGGACTTAGAATTAAGGAAATAAAATAATAAAAACAAACATCTAATAAAATAAACACCTTTATTAGAAGTTATAGGCAAGGGAAGTGCAGGATGCCAATGGCTGGGGCTTTCGAACTTGACCCAGAGGTGTGGGGAGAGCTCCACATCCAGCCAGAGGCTGATGGGATATCTCTTTGAATAGTCCCAAGTCTCAGACTAAGCTTGGATCTATCTGGCAGAGGCCCAGACTATGTATGCATAGACTCGGGGTCCAGGCTGTCACAGTGCAACTTGTATGGAGAGAGGAGGGCTTCAAAACTTCAATATTGTATCATCCCTTGTACATCTCTTCAATACTGTATCACCCCAAGTTCTACCTCTTTCATCCTTAGTCCACCTCACTATAACTCTCTGAGAATCCCTACTTTGCCCTTCATTGCCGGGTCTGGGCAATCAAATCCTTCTGGCTGCGTGTGCCATCTCTACCTGCTGGTGCTGATGTACCCTCGCAGAATCTTAGCCCTCCATTGTAAGTAGATATTTCATGAAATGTTCTCTCTGCCTCTGTCTTTCTGGCCTCTGTTTCCTCCACTCAAATGGGGGCATCTATTTCTCTCTGTCCCTACCTTTAGGGCTATTGAGAAGTAAATACTTCTTCAGTGTAACCCAAGATCCTGAGAAATATGACCTTTTTTTTGTTCATTTTCCCACTTCTTGCCAATTCTGTCTTTGAAGGACCTCTCTTCAGGTTACATACTACCAATTGCCAGCCCACAGGACATTCATTCTTCTGGGAAATGTTGGCTTGTAAATCTTCCCACCCTGTTTTGAGTCTTTATTCTGGCCAAGATCAGGATGACTGAAATCATTATTTTTGTACTTCATCTTTTTTTTGACATTGATATCTGGTGGTTTTCTACAGTACATGTTCTTTCTCAGTCATTGCCAATTGTCTGAGACATATAGATATTTCCCCAGATTCTGTGCTAGTATCTTTAATTCTTCAGATATTCTGCCCACTACATTTAGCTCATCTTTACCACCTTGGCTCCTTTCATAGTCTTAACATTAAGTTCTCTCCTGAGCTCCAAACTCATTTCAGAATTTGTGCCTTTTAACTCAAAAGGACACCAGCTAATAGCTTAACTCATTAGCTATCCAGTTAATACCTTCAATAGTTGCCTTACTTTCCAAAACAAAACAGAACCAAACAAATTTCCATGGCCCCTTCCTGGAAACAGAGCTTTCTCCACAGCTTCTAAGCTTTCAATGGTATTACCACTCTTATAGAGCTGTGGGTTGAAAACTAGAGAATTATCTTCATCAACCTACCACACTGATGACTGTACATTTGCAGTATCTCATGATCTCATTTAAAATGTTTATCTCAGTTGCTCACGTTAAGACACCCAGCATCATTTCCTGGACTAGTACTATAGTATTCTCACTGGTTCCATTGCTTTCAGCCTTCCAGCTCATTCCTCTTTGCATGCCTAGGGTTTTCGTAGCTTTTAGTTTGGTAATGTCACTTTCCATGAAAACCATGCAGTAAACTTTTAAAAACTTAATAATAAAGCTCAAATTCTTTAGAATTAAGATTAAAATATTCTCTAGATTATTTTGTGGCCTCAAGTTTTCATATGAATTCTATTTTTTTCTTCCTCAATATCTACCCTCCAGTTCTTCAAGCTGCCCCTCCAGTTCTTCAAGAAGCACTGAAACTGCTGTTGTCCTGAAATTCATCCTTCTCTCTCCACACAAAGCTATTGATCATTCTTTTAAAAATTTTAGTTTTACTCTCTCTCTCTCTCTGTCTCTCTCTCTTTTCTTTCTTACAGTAAGTTCCCTTACGTCAGAGGCTGACTCTATATAGTCTTATCCACCTATATATTCCTTCTCACAGGGCTTAGTCCAATTTTGGCACCTAATCAATGTTGAATTTTGTTGAATTATACAAGGGGTTTTAATAATTTATTATTTCAAACTTACTTCTGTTGTACTTGAAACCTATCAGTTCATTTCCTGAAGCAGTGCTGTTTTTCAATTCATTCATTCATTCAGCTAATTGATATTAATGAAGTGACTGTGGCTACATACTAAACACCTAGAAGTAATCTAAACAGTCATGGTCTCTAACTTTGTGGAGGCTATGCTTTAGTCTATAATGCACATATTCAAAGAGTCCTTTCTGTTTTTTTTTAAAATGAAATGTGAAATGAAATGATGAATGTCATTTTGATGTATGACAAACACAAAGAAAAGTATAAGTTGTGACTCAAAATTTATACATTATTGACTTTAAATAACTAAAGAATAACTGGTTCTCTTTTGTAGAAAAATGAGAGAGTTTTAAAGAAGTTGAAAGCTATGAGTAAAACTATAACCCAGTTTTAGCAATAGATCTTGAAATCAAGGTGTGTTTTCTGCATCTTAATTGAAATCTTTCTACCTGTTAGAATGCCAGGAAAACAGAAAATCCCAGAGCTGTGGAGAGGGTGGTAGTAGATGGTAGAGGAGAAGGAAATGTTTAGCAAACAGTTAAGATCCTAACAGGGTAGGGCAAGATTGATGGAAGGACCTGAGACATTAAAATTAAACACAGAAGATAGTGATATAGGTGCCATGTGTTTGAAGAAGCCCAGGCATATTTGGATATTTGGATATCATGGAGCATGTTTCTAAGTGAGGCTTTCTTTAGCTAAAACAGCATCTATACATTTTATGTGCTCTGTAGAAATATGTTTTAGAAAATAAGAGGCCATGTTTATATTCTATGCTAGGTTCTGGAGCCTTATCATGAAAAACATGGTAAGACAGGGTTTTCAAAATACTAACCTATATTTTCTGCTTTTTTAAATTGGGAGATGGGGAAAGTTGGGATTTATGAACAAGGAGAGATGCCTGAAAAAAAATATTCCATGTGTTATTATTTCTCCAGCTTTGTAAAAAAAAAACCCCAAATACTTCAGATAAACATCTTATAAAGAAGAAAAGTTCATTTTGGTTCATAGTTTCAGAGGTTTCCTTCCATAGTCGATTTGCTGCACTGAGTTTGGGCTTATGGCAAAGAATAACAACATGAAAGTGTGGTGGAGCAAATCTGCTTCTCTCATGGCAACTAGAAAGCAAAGAGGAAAACCAGGAAGGGACTCAGGCTCCAATGTTCCCTTCAAGGACAAGCCCTCAAAGATCTAACTTGGTTCCACTAAGCTTTACCTCTTAAAGGCTGCATTATCTTACCTTAGCATCACGGGCTAGTGATCAAGACCTCAGCTCCTTGCCTGTAGGGTACAGTCAAGATAAAAACTATTACATATGCTATGCAATTAAAATTCTATAGTGTAATTGTGTGTGTGTGTGTATGTGTGTGTGTGTGTGTGTGTGTGTGTGTATGTGTGTGTGTGTGTGTGTGAGTTTAGAGGCATGTTCTCCTTTATAATAGTTTTTCCAATTTTAGCGGGAGAGAACTGAGAAGAGTTTAAGACTTCTATATTTTACATTTTAAAAAAGAAATCAAACCAAATCAAACTAAACCCAAACAAACAACAGCTGGTGGCCCAGGCCTGTAATTCTAACTACACAGGAGGCTGAGATCTGAGGTTCCCAGTTTGAAACCAGCCTGGATAGGAAAGTCCATGAGACTCTTAACTCCAATCAACCAACCAAAAGCCAGAAATGGAACTGTGACCCAAGTGGGAGAGCACCAGCCTTGATCAAAATAACTAAGGAACAGTGCCCATGTCCTTGAGTTCAAGCCTCAGGGTGACACATACACTTAAAAGAAAACAGAAACAAAAACCTGTAAAGTGCTTTTCTTCTGAATCTGTATACTTACTCCATTGCGGGGGGGGGGGGTGGGGAGGAGGGTGTGGTTCATTTATGTTCCTTTCTCATGTGTGTGTATGTTTTCCAGAGTGTTTCGAATTATGGATGACAATAACAACCGAGCACTTGATTTCAAAGAATTTTTGAAAGGGTTAAATGATTATGCTGTAGTCATGGAAAAGGAAGAGGCAGAAGAACTTTTCCGGAGGTTTGATAAAGATGGAAGTGGAACAATAGACTTCAATGAATTCCTTCTCACACTAAGAGTAAGTGGCCCTGTGAATAATCAGTGTTATCTTCAGGGCTTGGTGTTCACATGGTGTGACTCGGGTACTTTGAGGTTTTGTGTTTCAGAAGTTGTAAATACACTGTGGAAGAGATGGGGAGAAGACTGAATAGGCTGAAGGACTTTCTGAAGCAATTATAATGCATTTCCATTCAGAGGCATAGGAGTAATTTTCTGTCATTGAATGGAATAATATATTCTATCACATATTATATAAGAAGAGCTCATTTACATGCATACAAATGTGATTTCCAATTTATCTAGCCTCCAATGTCCAGAGCCAGGAAAGAGGTAATTATGAAAGCTTTCAGAAAGCTAGACAAAACCGGAGATGGTGTTATAACAATTGAAGACCTTCGTGGGGTATATAATGTAAAACATCATCCAAAGTACCAAAATGGAGAATGGACAGAAGAACAAGTCTTCAGAAAATTTCTGGATAACTTTGATTCACCTTATGATAAAGATGGATTGGTAAGTGCAAGTTTACTCAGGAAATTGCTTATACTCAACTTGAAATTTAAATGATAAATTGTTGGTTCAGAACATTTTAACCATCTCAACACATTTGATACTGGGTTCGTTACAAATAGAAGAATATATTTCTTTAGAAAATACCTAGAAATTTGAAAACTAAAGTAATAAAAACGTATTTATCAAATACACAGACACAGACACATATGTTTGCTAGGGAATCCCTAGATATCAGGTGGAAATGTGGAATTTTGACTAGATTCTCCAATTACTTCCTGGTTACTGGATTCCTCCAGGTCAGCTAACTACATTACTATGAGTAGACTACAAGCCAACATGTTGAGTTTTAATGAGATTGTAATTCAATTTGGGGGAACAGTGTCAAAAGGACTTTCTAAGTGTTTGGTGTCTTTTACATTTTTCTACCTGGGCGTCTCCTTATTTGAGCATCTATGCAAATACCTTTGAAAGGCAGGTTTGGGTAAAGGGAATGCCAGAGACAAGATTTACCTTGATTCATTCTTTAGTAGGATTTAAAATTAACTTGCATTTCTAAGTCACAGAGAACTTGAAAATAAAAACAACTACCCTATCTTCATTAGTCACTACCTTTGAGTTAACAAAAAATTTTGGATGGTAAGGAATTATAGCTCCATTATTCTGTCTAGGCAAAGATGAAAATATAAACTTTTACCAATATCCATAAGATAAACACATCCATTTCTGCTGTTTAGTGTCAAGAGAGTTATGATGACCATGGAAAGGTACCTTTTTAGTCTCATTCGTCAGCAACCTTGGGGTGGGTTACCTTTTGGCCATACCAGTCAAGGTAAGTGGGACAGTAGACAGGAAGGGGACATGAGTCTGGAAAGAAGAAATAATCCTTTCCCTTCTAAATGGAATTTCCCTCTATATTTCCTATGAAAGTTTATGAATAGTCCTGTCACTAGAGGTGGGTTAGAAAGGTGACCTTTCTTTTCCAGTCAAGGATGGAGAAGTATCCACTATTATAGGCTGTCGAATTCTGGAGGCAGATAAAAATGAAGTAAAGAGAGCCTAGATTTTGTAGGGAAGCCAAATGCTTCAGACAGAAATAACAGAACTGTGTGGCCTTTGATCTTTAAGATGTCAGTGGAAAAATAGCCAACTGTCACTTCCCCTAACTAGCCCGATTCTCCATGGACCCTGGGTGTCTTTGCTTCTGCAGGTGGTTCCTCCTCACTGCCCGGGGAAACCTCAGTTGCTCTTCTCTCTAACTCCAGTCAGAGTAGTCCTGATGAGTCAAGTTCCCAGTTCTCCCCCTTCTGACATTTCTCTTAATCAGCCACTTTGAACTCTTCCCTACTCATAAAGGTTACTGAGGTTTGTCACAGTGACAGCATTTGATATCATCTGAATATCAAACACCTTATAATAATGTCCAACTCTTTACAATGGTCATCAGCAGCATATATTGATAAATCAGATTGCTGGCTCTTCTGTGGAACCACAAAATCTGATACATGAGGGGGGGTGGAACCCAATAATTTGCATATCTAGTACATAAGCCGGTTGGCTTTTATACACAATCATATTTGAGATCTTTAGTATTAAAATATTCAGAAAGATCTGTTTTAATGACTAAATACAATAACCTCATGTAGCATGATGATGAAACTTGGCAAAATTATTGACCCCTTACCAGTGGGCATTGTGTGAAAAGACTCTACAGGACTGTTTCAATTAAAGGAGATAGTGAAAATGCTTATGAAAAATGATTCTAACACTTGCCTTTTTTATTGTGAAAATACTGTACAGAGGGGTTACAATTGCATGGGCAAGGTAATGAGTACATTTCTTATCAAGCATTGTTACCTCCTTACCTCCTCCTTTGTTTCCCCTTCCCATCTCTTCCCATCCCCCTGTGCCAAAATTGTAAAGTTAAAATATTTGTGTTTTTGAATCATATTTAAAACCCACCAGGGATTGTTGATGTAAAGGAACTGAAAAATTCTTTTAAAAAGCATAATTACCTTCTGTGCATGTATTATTGATTTGTATTTATAGACCCTTGGTAAACAAACTATCACCATTGATTCAGTTCAATGTCTTTTTTTCCTAAAGTCTTCTGCTGTTTGACAAGATGGGGTTGGAGAATGGGAAACAACTGTGACTCCTGTGGCTTTTTGAGTTTTTTTTTCTTTGCACTTATAATCTCCTCAAAGAAGGCAAGTGAGAAACTCTGATTGTTTTTCTTGTTTGGTGACAGTATTAGGGCTCGAATTCAGAAGTTCATGATCCCACTTGGACTTTTTTAGTTTAAGGCTGGTTCTCTCTCTCTCTCTCTTGAGCCTAAGTTCCACTTCTGGCTTGTTGTTGATTAATTGAAGATGAGAATCTCATGGACTTTGTTTTTTGTCCCAGGCTGGCTTTGAACCTTGAGCCTCACATCTCAGCATGAGAGTAGTTAGAATTACAGTAGCATGAGCCACTAGGCCCTGGCAGCACTTTGCAGTTTTAGAAGAGAGGCACATTTCCAAAGACTTGGATGGAGAAAAGTGTGCTGCCTTCGACTTGAAAGCTTTTAGTTACTTATGAGTTTCCCTTCTTGAAATATTTTTGGTCCCCTGTGAATGCTGACAATTGTGTTAGCCAGAGAAAATGAATTTCCCAAATATCTGCCATCATTTTTCTTCATCTTTTCATAATAGATAATCACCTACTTTGGGTAAATTCACTAGCCATCAAGATCTGTCAACCTGGAAGATAATCATTACTCTGACTCAACTACTCACACCAGAAAACATGTTTACATTAGAAACCACACACCATCTTCTTCCCAGTAACACTTAAGACCAATAACTATTTTTTCCCTCTTTCCAGAATGAAAACAATATAAAATCCTATTATGGATAAGCACATTGTTTGCAACAATCGTAGGCAAAAGTGAACCTGGGGCAGGGTGGGAGGGAAGGAACAGGAAGTAATGTTTTTGCTCATTCTGAGCCTCGAATGAGTAATTTGTAGCTTAGAAATACGTATAAACCAGGCATATTTACTAGAAATTTGTTTCTTTACCCACAGAGCAGAATTCCATTGCTTGAAAGGTGAGATATGACTTATTCTGACACAGGGCATGTTTCTGGCATGCCCCACCAAGACAGTATTAAGTACAGTTTGAAAACATGTGCTCCCCTTTTCTGAGTTGAAGTTACAGGCATCTTAACCAAATGGCTCTTTCCCTCCAAGAAAAGCTAACCATCCATGCCTCTCTTGCCATTTAGTTCTGTTTGCATGCTTTCAAGACATCTTCCTCTCCTCCTCTCAGCCACTCTTCTTGCCATCTTCCACTTTGCTTTTTCTTCCCCTGGATCACTCATGATCACCCCGCACAAAGCCTCCTGGATGGAGTGGGACCACGTCTCTTTACAGGGCAAGGGATGGGCCTCCTTTGGATGAGTGGGAAGCAAAGTTTCGTTTTTGTTTCAAACTTTTCCCCTGCAGGTGACCCCTGAGGAGTTCACAAACTACTCTGCAGGTGTGAGTGCATCCGTGAGGTACACAGATGTGTACTTCATCATCATGATGACAACTTCCTGGAAGCTGTAAGTCCAAGACCCTGGAGCCTGGTCATGACCACATGATTAAACCTCAGCGCAGAAACCAGGACTGTATTTGCTGTCATGTTCATTCCAGTGTTTCTTCCTTGTCGACACACAGCATTTTCTAGGGTGAAGGAAAAGACACACATAAAGTCACCAGGTAGTGACCTGTGAGCTTGCCTCCTCCGAAGCTATTATCTTAGGTCTTGAATAGGGGGTGAAATAAAATTACATCTAGAAAGTTCCTAGAGTTATAGATGATACATGCAGGTGTCTAATCAGTTTTGAGTTTCCTCTTTGGGTATTAATGAAAATTTAAATATTTTAATTAACAAAAACTTCCCCCATGTTCCTATTGTAGCTTTTAACCTCCTTTTAGATCATCCATTTCTAGGTAAGAGAATGCTTCTGTTTGTACGTGTTTCAGTCCCAATTTAGGGACCAGAGGAGACCCACATTAGCTTCAATTCTTGTAACTGCAACTTGAGTTACATTACCCAGTTACTAAACTGAGTATTTTCTCTGTTTACCACCCACGTAAACCTTAGTTTGGACAATATATTGAAACTGACTTTGTTTTTCTTTTTTCCTTGCTTGCTTGCCTCCTTCCTTGCTTTCTCCCTCCCTCCCTCCCTCCTTCCCTTCCCCTTTCTTTCTTTCTTTTTCTTCCTTCCTTCCTTCCTTCCTTCCTTCCTTCCTTCCTTCCTTCCTTCCTTCTTCCTTCCTTCACATCCTTGATGTGAGAGTGGAGGCAATTTCTTTGAACAGTAGATACAGGACTATTGAAAGTATTCTTGTGTGCTTAGACTTTATGTGGACTTCTTGTCCTGTGGACCAGGAGTCTTTACTGGTGGAGTGTTTGCTTCTCTTATTCCCTATGCTTGGCAATCATGTTGGTGTTTCCATTATTACAAAGATGCTAGGTGTGACCTGGACTAGGATAGAAGCATATTCTAAGGCAGATTTTCCATTTTGACACTTCATGGACTAAAGCCATGAAACACTAAATTCTGGTGTCCTATTGTTGACCTGTGGGAATCTTCCTGTGAAAGGCTAATTGACATGTTAAGGCAGTCCCGTCTTTAATATCCAAATAAATACTTAATGGCTATTGAATAATATTGAATATCTACTCAAATACATATTCAAACTACGGCTCTTGCTCTGAATGTTTTGTTCTGGGGATGTGGAGAGAATCACAGTGGGCAGCCTCTCATTGCAGGGCTGAAGGGAACAACCTCTTGCCTTTGCCACTCAGGAGAACTGTGGTCCTGGCTGCGCTTACCCCTGCTTCTGGGATATGTATCCTTTAAGATCCCATGTATTTAAGCCAGGCACCATCACACCTATAATCCTAGCTACTCAGGAGGCCAAGACCTGGAGGACCATGGCTCAAAGCCAGCCTGCACAGTGAAGTCTCTGTCACACTTTGTCTCTAAAACAATCATCAGAAAAAGCCAGAATGGAGGTGTGGATCAAGTAGTAGAATACTAATCATGATCAAAAAGTTAAGCAAGAATTCAGGGCACTGAATTCAAGCCCTTGTACCTATACCAAATGGTTACAATCAATCATAATCATAATCATAGCAGATCTTATGTGTTTAAGTGGCTCTGGATTAAAATCAGAACATACTTGCGATTTCTATGCTAATTCATGTAATGGATTGCGATCAAGATACATATTAAATTAAGAGTTGTGCAAGCAAGTACTGCTAGATGAGAATTATAGCAATCATTTAATAGAGTACCTGTTTCTTTTTATTCTTTTTTTTATCATGGGACTTGAACTTGGGGACTGGACACTGTCTCTGAGCTCTTTTGATCAAAGGCAAGTGCTCTGCTACTTTGAGCCATAGCTTTATTTCAGTTTTCTGCTGATTAATTGGAAATTAGAGTCTCATGGATTTTCTTTCCCAGACTGGCTTCAAACTATGATCCTTAGATCTCAGCCTCCTGAGTAGTTAGGATTACAGGTGTAAGCCACCAGTTCCTAGGGGGATATTATAGGTGGGTTGTAATTTTCAACTCATTTATCCTTTCGACAGTATAGAAAGGGATTTTTTTTGTCATGAGATTGGACATGTTCTCTTGTCATAGGAAACCAGTTTTTAAAGGATTTATTGCTTATGCTTATATAGAGTTTGGTAGGCCAACAAAAGCAGGTGATGTGAATAAATATGTGGAAATTATATAGAAAGCCCAAAGAAATGATGAAGAAATGTGTGGGAAAATGCCCATGTGTTTTTGCAGCCAGAGTCTTGCAAACTGTGGTTGAAGAGAGATCCCTGTTTCCTGAGCATAGGCAATTGATTGTAAGCCTATAGCTCTAGCTAGAGAGATTTATGACTTTGATTCTGGCTATGACTCATGTTTTGTTTAACTGGGACTCTAGAGTGAGCATGTGATTATGAGCTGGGCCTGGGCTGCAGCTATCAGCTTTATTTCCCCCAGTGGTACTTTGCTTCCTGTCTAATGCATGCATGGGGCAGAGTGATCCTAGAACAGATAACCTGTGCCACAGTGTATTTGGTCACATCTAATGGCCTTCAGCAATTGCTTCTTGCAGTTGGTGTTTTGGGCCCATGAGTGAGATTCCATCAAGGCTTTCCTTCTGGAAACAAACTTCTTAAGAATTTGATGATCAAGGATAACTCCAACCCCATTCTCAGTCTAATCTTTGATTTCTGGAATTGTCAGAGACAGATCATTCAAGTAGCCATGGAAGAAACAGAGAAGAATCATTTGAAAAATATTTGTGGACAATTTGATGGATATATTTTCTCTTTGTTTACCACCCAGTTTTTAAACATTATTCCACTCACAATCTAAAAATTAACCTCTTAAGTGAGAAGATAAAGCACAGAAAAAAATCTTTTTTAATTTTTAAAAAATTATTTTAAAGTAATTGTACAAAGGAATTGCCATTTAACGAAACAGTTTATGAATATATCTTGACTAATGTCACCCCTTTCGACAATCCTCCCTGACCTTCTTAATTTTGTAGCATATGCATTGGATTCTACCCCCTCTTTTCCTCCTCATTCATCCACCTCTTTCCCCTTGAGCCTACTCTACCCCTTTAATACTCACTTTCTGGTGTTTTATTTTGCTAAACTTTGATTTTTTCCTTTCTAAGCAAGAATACTATTTGAGATCTTCCTTGACTCTATCGTATTTCAGTTAATACATTTGTATGTACTTGCTTACCACCCAGTGTATTTACTTACCAGTTTGTAAGTGAAATCTAGCCTCCACATACAAACGAACATGTCTTGTTGGTCCTGGGTCCCCTATAGGAGATTAAGTGAATAAGCTAAAGATAAAAATCATCTAAAACAAACCACCTAAAACACACTGAAGTCTGGGTTCTAAATTCACTCAAGGCAAGCCTTTGTGAGAACACCAGAGAATGGGCCACCAGCAAGAACAGGTGCACATTTTACCTGAAGTCCATTCACAGTACAAAAAAGAAACCCAAGATGTGTTGAATTATAAACCGAGAAAGGATTCTTTCACCAGTCTGTGGAGCTGGTTTGTACTAGTATCTAACTCTAACAGGTTATAACATGGCCAGATGGCATTGTACTTGTCCTGTCTGGTTTGGAAGTCATCCTTCATACCTTAACAGTGCCTTGAAGGTGGAGCTGGGTGCTTTCCATGTAGGTTGATGATTAATTTGGCTTGTATCATGGTTTAAAGGCTGGAATCCATCCTATATATAACTACTTATTGTCCTACATACTCTTTCTTCTTAGTTTGTGAGGACAGACTTATGAGTTAGAAGAAATACACACAATAGTTTCCAAGCCAAACTAACAACCTGTGTTTGTTAATAAATGAAAGAAGGCTAAAGGTGGTGGGAATCATGTGTGCTAAAATTCTCTTCCTTAAGTGTCATCCAGGAGAGCTGGAATCCTTTATACAAACCTGTGTTGAGCAAACGTGTATTAAATTTGATGAACATACATATTCTATCAAGCCAACACAAACACAATTATTGATGGTCAATCAATTCCCTTGGCCAATATAGATTGCCTCACTGAACCAGGAGAGTGCCAGCACGAGTCTACCTACAAAGAAAGTCTGTTGTGATGATTACCTAATCAAGTGCAGAGATCAAATTAAATACATGTATTGTTGGATGATATGTATGTGCCTTCTTACTCCTGCTTCATGAAATCCTATTAACACCCTTTGCCTTGTATCCATCCTAGATTTCTGCATATCTACTTAGTTCATTACAGAATGGAAAATATACAAATTCCAATTTTTCCAAATTTGGAATTATAGACTGAGTTTGGAAATAATTCTCTGCTTTTTGAAGTTAAGAATGTAATGAATGGCATAGCAATGTTTCAAGTCTTAGGAGTGCTTATGACTCAAAGGAAAAAAAGTATCAAGGGTTTTTAAATTAACAGCTTATTAAATGCAGCAACATTTCCAAGTCTTGAAAATAATATGACCCAGAGCAAAAACAAGTTTGTCAAGGGTTGGGTAGATTACCATGCAATTGGTCTGTTTGACAACTTGTATTTTTCAGTGTGATTTTCCTCCTCCAAGTTACTTCTACAGAAGCTACATACTCTTGAAAGACATCTTTTATTTGAATAGAAAGCTCACTAAGTTAATGTCTAAAGTTATGTGTCTAAAACAGATGATAGGTGAAATCTGTTAAAGGATACATAAACCAATGATTGATGGGGCTTCTGAGAAGGCGGTGTGAACATTCTTTGTGCCGTCTTGGGTGGTGTGGTAGGAGGTTGTGGTGAAACAGCCCTTCCTCTCTGAGGATAGCATGTCCTTCTTGTTTTAGTTCTCACACCTGCCTCTCCAGAGCCCTTTTGTTTCCCTTTGAAAACTGCAGTGGTAGGTTGCTCCTCAGGCTTGGAACCCTCGGAAAGTACAAGCTACTCATCAGTTGAGTGTTTGATATGGATCTTACATCTTGTATCAGGGAAAGATAACTTTGTCCTTTGTATTCGATTCTTCTGATTTTTTTTTTATAATAGGATATACTGAGCTTACCATTTGGCACTCAG